ATCACCAGCAATCATCACCAGCAATCATCACCCCCCCCCCCTTTACCAGCACTGGCAAGGCAGGCCACAGCATATAAATAGAGAGCAAACCCCATCCCATTTTAGCACTGAAGATGTTACCTAGCCGGGTAACGAAACGTTTGCAAGAAAAGAACCAAGCTCAGAGAACCCCGAGGACTCCACAGTACAGAATTATGCCTGGAGCAAGCAGGACCACAGTCTCATCGGAGGCAACTGTATCATTCTAGCTTGGAATGTTTCATTTGGAAGGAGAAACATTCCCTTATTTATTCTTTGAAGTTGGTTTAACACTTCAATCAGAATGAGGCCTAAAGTAGGGAGAGGGGCAGGTGTTGTTTCAGATTCCTACAACTTGCTTATGGACCTTGAATTTTGCTGTTTCTGACTTCCTTCTTCTTCCACCTCAAAGCTCAAATTTATTCAGAGTGAACTTGGTAACAACTTTTGGAGGTATGTAAGAGTCAAATCTAAGGCTTTTGAAGGACAACAGACTTCAGGTTGTGTACCTCTGTTCTAAGTGATCTAGGACATATCTATCTAGACTGAAACAGCAATGGTCAAGATTAAGATCCCCGTTCAGAGTAAAACAACCTCTTAGATAATCTCCCCGTACTTGAAATGTAGGCAAAGGCAGAAGTGAAATTTAAGAATATGTCATGCATGCAAGTTTGTCAATGGCCGGTTTTCTCTTTACCCCAAAGGTGAGAGGAATCTTAAACTTGTTAAATGTGTTGCTGTTATTGTTGCTGTTGTTGTTATTATTACTACTATTATTATTTTGCATTTGAAGGGCTGCTTCTAGACAAGCCTACCAAACATCATGCAGACTAGGCAAAGCAACATGTATTCTTTGCGCCCCAAAGCTCCACACCACATCTGAAGAGATATTGCAGGAATCCCAGGCAAGGTAAAACTCTCTTCACCTATAATGATAAAGGTGTTCAGTGCCAAACACTCGTCTAGTGATTGGCTAAGCAGCTTTAGGAAACTGGCATATGGAGAAAAGTAGATGTGCCCTTGATTGAGGTGCATCTAACAATTAATTAAAATGAAATTAATTAAAATGAAATACAATTAATATGATTGAAGTCATGCATTTAGTTTCCCCCTTTCTTCAGAGTAAACTTGGTAACAACTTTTGGAGGTGTGTAGGAGTCATATCTAAGGCTTTTGAAGGACACAGGACTTCAGGTTGTGTATCACTGCTCTAAGTGATCAAGGAGCTATCTGGTTGTCCTTGACTTACAACCACAATTAGGACTGGAACTTCCACCGCTAAGCGATGTGTTTGTTAAGTGAGTTGCGCCTGATTTTACGACCTGTTTTGCCAAGGTCGTTAAATGAATCATGTGGTCATTCAGCAAATCCAGCTTCCTCCGTTAACTTAGCTTGTCAGAAGCTCCCTGGGAAGGTCGCAAATGATGATCATGTGATCCCAAGATGGTGCAACTGTCATAAATGCATGCCAGTTGCCAAGCATCCGAATTTTGATCATGTGACTGTGGGAATGCTGTGACAGACATAAGCGTGAGGACCAGTCATAAGTCACTTTTTTCAGTATTGTTGTAACTCTGAACAGTCATTAAATGAATGTAAGTCAAGGACTACCTGTGTCTAGACTGAAACAGCAATGGTCTAGATTAAGATCCCTGTTCAGAGTAAAACAGCCTCTTAGATAATCTCCCCGTACTTGAAAGATAGGCAAAGGCAGAGGTGAAATTTAAGAATACGTCATGCATGCAAGTTTGTCAATGGCCAGTTTTCTCTTTGCCCCAAAAGTGAGAGGAATCTTAAACTTGTTAAATGTGTTGCTGTTGTTGTTGTTATTATTACTATAATTATTATTTTGCATTTGAAGGGCTGCTGCTAGACAGGCCTACCAAACATCATACAGCCTAGGCAAAGTAATATGTATACTTTGTGCCCGAAAGCTCCACACCATATCTGAAGAGGCATCGCAGGAATCCCAGGCAAGGTAAAACTCTCTTCAGCTATAATGATAAAGGTGTTCAGTGCCAAACACTTGTCTAGTGACTGGCTAAGCAGCTTTAGGAGACTGGCACATGGAGAAAAGTAGATGCGCCCTTGATGGAGGTGCCGAGACCTAACAAGGGCAGGTGGAAGAATAGAGGAGCAGCAGTTGGCCCATATAAAAGAGAAAGCCTGTAGTGGTATGTGGGAAAGATCTTGGGAGACTGGACAAAGAGACGCTGCCTAGAGAATGGTCAGATAAGAGACAGCACAGCCTGCAGCTAGATAGTGGGTGAGGCAAGAGGCTCAGAAGAGACCCTCCCTAGTTTCTCGGACTGTAAAGGAGAACGGGGGGGGGGGTATTGTACTTTCAGACTTGCTAGATTCTGTCAATCTAGCTTTACAATAAGGTAGAATTAGCTCATCTGGTTGTGATTCCTAACTGGTTTACCCTGTGAAGCCGACCTCAATCTTGCAAGTCTGAAAGTACCATTCTCCCCTCCGTAGTCTCAGGCATATCACTGAATGTGCCTTGGAACATTATTATAAAAGCTGCTTATGGCACTCTTGCTATTGCTCCCAAAAGCCTTCAGAAGAGAAAGAAAATTAGCTTCTATCTTGAGAATTTTCAAATCCCCCTCAAAGCTCAGGAGAAGTGGATTTACTGGCAGAGCTGTCAACATGCTAACACTTGCAGCATCGTAGGTTTTTCATTAATTTATTAGATCTAGAATACTGAAGCATTGGATGTCTTCTTAATCTCATTCTTGACATGTCCCAGTGCTAGAAATAGACTTAAAACCTGGGTTAAACACAAGTCTCCCTACTCCTTGGTTTAAAACAAATGCACAAGGTTCTAGCTAAAAGCTGAAATATTGAACAACTTCCCTTGAATATAGTTATCCCTTCATCATTGGGGGCAGGGGGAGGGGTTAAGGTGATCTCTCAGTTGAAACCAAGAGATGTACTCCTGTAATATGTATGCTGGCAACTCTATTCCTGTTTGTGTGAATGGCTGTATGCCCACTGACGTACTGTACAACAAATATACCAGTGACCTGGTCCCAGTGTGTTATGAAAGGCAAAGTTATGGGGATATCTTCATCCCTTCCCTCTGCAGATGAGTTGAGGATCCTCATGTTTCCTCTTGGCAGTATTACTACTGCGATGAAGATGAATGCTGACTGTGGTTCAAATAACCAATCTATAGTTAGTGATTTTGTCTACTGCGAGGAAATAGATCCAGAATGTCAAAAATGGGCCATGATGAGCCAAAGTGACTACCATGACGGGCAAGACTTCCCTGCTTGGTTCTATGCTACCTCAGTACCAGTAGCATGGTTGTATCTCAGAAAAAAGGGAGCTGGCATTCACATCAGTGATCCCCAAAGAAGAAAGGGGATGTGGGGGGGGGCTGTGAGTGTCACTTATCTGATCATCTCACCTCACCTGACAAAAGCATATTAGCATGTCAGCCATCTATCTTTTACAGCAATTCTACCAGTACTGTATGATAGCATCAGCTCTGCAGACATGCTGCATAACTAACTATGCAATTGAAAAATGACAGTATTGAAAATATTTTCCACTTCATATCAGCCTTTTGCTCATTTAAATTCATGTTTATTTTAGAGATGATTACACACACACACATGGTATGACTTAGAAACGTCTTGGTATTTGAGAAATCTGAAATAGTATTTTTAGTACTTGAAATATCCTGCTAGTGCTTGAAGCAATTCCAAGTTATTTATGTAGGTGTCTCCATGCTCTTCTTATTGGCTTCACTTCTTTAGAGATGGACCAAGACTTCTTTCTTCCTCCCTTTATTTTGCCTGTGAGTGTAGCCAGTGACATCATGATGTGGCCAGTGACAACATGACATTAATGGGGTAACCAGCTTTGGGAGGATGTTGGAAGGCTTTAGGGGTAAAAAAGATGCACCCCCCTTTCCCCTTACATATATTTGACCCTCGTCCCAACAGGCTCATGGAATCACAAAAGAGGTGCTGGAGGACCTCTGCTTTAGAAACTGATAGTTTATTCCATTGAGAATAAGCCTATTATACAGAGATTGGTGGGCATCCTAGTCTGTTTGGTCTTACCCATATTTGCCCAAGTCTATTGCATGGTAATACTAATACATAGACATTCTCATGTATTTGCTCTACATTTGTTCTTATGTAGAGCAAAGGAGTGATAGCTAACTTAGGTGTTAGATTTGGGTGTCAAGAAGGGTGGTAGAGTGGGAGACAGGAAGAACTGTTGCCTGGAAAGTTGTTTTGTGTAAGCCCCTCTGGGAGGGCAATGAAAAACATCTTTGTTCAAAGTTGGGACGTTCCTGCTTTTTAATGAATTCCTTCCTTGTGATAGGAGACTCTCCACCAAAGAATTTGAAGATAGTCTGATGCTGTGGTTAGAGCATCATATTAAGCCTAGAGAATAGCATGTCCTTATTGGATGTTTCATTGTTTATTGTGTGAGCTTGATTGCAGTTTTACCAATCACAAGGAATTTTGGTGAGGATCAAATGGGATGTACGTTGATGCATCTTTGAGGAAAGGTACAACCTACCTGTACTTAGAGTTTGCAAAGTTCTCAGTCACTTGTGCAAAGCTTCTACAGAATGCAGCTTTTCCAACACTGCCAATAAGATAACTTTCATAACTTTCCTTGGCCTGCTGCAGCCTTTCAGTAACAGTATGATCACTTTGATGCTGGGTGAAATCTAACTAGTTTTCCCTCTGATCTTGCAGGAGTCAGGAGCAAACATCTCAGCACTGGAGTGAGCAGAGGAGGATCCGGTATGTTAAGAGTTTGGCTGCTTTGGAGGAAGAGCTTCATATAGCCAGACACCATGCCAGAGAACAATTGGATAAAGTCGACATTCAGAGGATGGTACTGTATTGCTGCCATTCCCTTCCTATTAGTGGGAAATAATCTCCATCAGTTACTTGTTTTCCTATCAGAACAGCTGAATACCAGGGTTCATAACCCACATTAAACCATCATTTATTTGAATCATGATTTGTTGAATAAGTCACGGGGGCTGGATCGCCATGTTGTACTGTATTCCATGATTTACAAACCATGGCTGATAGCATAATGTAAGGCCAAATGAAAGAAGCCAACCACGTTATCACAGCAGTTGAGGTTGGCCCGAAGTCATACCTGTCATTCAGGACTTTGGTTAACTGATGCCATTGCTTGCTTCTGTCTAGAGAGTATTCTTATCCAGTCTCTATAGGGTCTGAAGGTTTTAAATACAGTTTTTAAAGTTCTAATTATTTATTTAGTGATAACTTGGATTAAATTAACCAATTTCAGTTAATAAAAAAAAAATCTGAGTGATGTCCTCAGGGATTATTAAAAAAACATGAACGTGTGCGCTATCGCTTTTATAAATGTTAAAAAATGCAATAAAATTATAGCTTAGCATAATGTATGAACCCAAGGGCTCTTTCCCACTTTGGGTTATTGAATTATTTTCCCACAATTACTTTACAGGTAGAGGAAAGAATGGCTTTGGAAAGGTATGAGGTTGAAGACAGCATTAGCCGAGCTCCAGAATTTTTAGTGCGGCTCAGGACTCATACTGTATGGGAAAAGATGCCTGTCAGGCTCTATTGTACAGTCCAAGGATTTCCCACCCCTCTTGTACAATGGTAAGCCTTTGACTCTTTCCAGGAATCTCAAGATGGTGCTAAGTGTTATTCATGTAATAACCCAGCTATTAAATGTCACTTTTCTATTAGCTATGTTTAAGAACCCTTTATAATCCTCAAAGACATTCTGGAGAAACACCGTTGCCTTGACACAGAAGTTTCCGACTTTATACTGAAGAAATAGATTGGACCCTTCAGAACTTGAAACTGGTTGACTACTGAAATGTTTATTTAGAAAAGATCATGGGGGAAAGTGCTATATGCACTTCTGAACTGAGTTTAATAACTCTTCAATCAGTTGCTAAATTCCAATTGACTTTAATAGTGCTTCTTCATTAGCAGATGAAAATATAAAAGCTAGAAACTCAACAGAGAAAATGACACTCAACTGAAACTAGTGGGTGTATGCAGCAAGAATCTACTCTAAATCTAACCTCAGGGTACCTCTATGCATGCCCTTTGCACTGCTCCCAATGAAATTCCACAATGTCATCCATGTTTGGCAGCTGATCTAATTTATTTCTGGCTCAGCTGAGAGTACTGCAAAGCTAGTTTGGGTTTTGAGATGCTGTGGCTCTGGGAAGTTATGGGTGAGCTGTTTCCCAATTTATGGAAATGTTAGTTCCATCCCACCTCTGGTTCCTGGGCTACAGTTTTACTAGCAGGTCTTTCAAGACAGAAGTTCTTGAATGGCTTTTCAACTTTCCACCTCCTCTTGTGGAGATGCCATAATATATTTTTCTTTCTGAATAATGGATCAAATCCCAAGATTTTGCCAAATCTTGCAGTCTCACCCTTCTTGCCCTAACTCTTCAAGATTTCATGTAAAAACTCCAAATCTCACAAGATTTGGCAATTAGAGGTATTAGCCAATTTGTTTTTTAAAAGATACTTTATTTAATGTGGGATTTTGACAAACCCCATTTGTGCCCCAGTGCCTGTTGACTCCTGTCTTATATGTGTGATGGAAGGCATGCACAGGGAAGGTTCTAGAATGGAGCTTCAAGGTTGCCAGGAGGGGGGAGAGACATTCCAGGGGAAGCACCTCCTCAGTCCTTACCCGGAGTGTGGGAAAGCCAAGAGAATGAGACTGGCCCCTCCCTAGGGGCCTCGTGGTTATAGTAACTGTTGTGGTGGTGTAGATTTAGTCTGACAAGATTTTGTCTATTAGCTGTAAGCTAATAAAGGAACCAAACTGTTCTGGACTGTCTCGCTGTTGTTCTTGGGCTTAACCTGACAATATGGTAGTCTTTCAGATGACACATTGCATGGTGGGGAATATGAGGGTTAATGCTCATGCAGTGAGCAATGGACATGGGTGCCAAGAATGATAATAAACCTTGAAAAGCAGTAGAAATTTACATCATTTTAGATACTGGAACACTACCCCACTCATGAAACAGAGGAGAAAGTGGTCAAAAGCTCATGTTCCCTAGGACTGTCAATATGACTAGTTGGGTGATCTTCTCTAGCAATACCTTTAACAACTGCACAGAAGAAGAAAAGCTTCCAGGTCATCTGATCTCTCAAAATCTGTCTAAATATTAACAGAATCTGGATCTTGTTCTCCAGCCTGTCTAGCTCAGTCTTTTCCAACCTGGTACACTTCCAAAGTGCATTGAACACCACTCCTGGAATTCCCAATTTGCAGGGGGTGTTGCCTGAGCTGCCTGAAGGGCATCAGGTTGGGGATGGCTGAGCTGATGATTCTGGATGGGCTGAGCTGGGAGAACCCAGCTAAATGAAAAGACAGAAACTGATATTCAAGACTATCACTTCACATTTTAGCAAATATCAACCATGGGGAATATTAAGAATTTGGACTGGGACCTTGATTATGGGGAAAAAAGGCCAACACTCTTCTTTGGTGTTGCTGTTGCTTGGATTGAAGATGAATACATGTACAGCCTTCCACAGTTCTGAGCAAAACAACATGTATAGAAATATATACCATTTCTGCAATAGTTTTCTAATATCACTTCTATTTATGCTGATGGTCATTAAAAATGAAGCCAACAGCTGGTGCCCTTCTTGTCTATGTTCTGACTGCCATCAATTTTGCCTTATTTATGTTGCAATTTGATTTCCAGTACAAGCTGTGGTTTTTTTGGTTTTTTTTTTTTTTTTGCTTCTCAGGTACAAAAACCACCAACTGATTACTCCTGCAAGCGACCTTGGAAAGTACACAGTCGAAAGCAAATATGGAGTGCATATGTTGGAAATAAACAGGTACATGTCTGTGTTGGAGCCATGATTAAGGCAATTCGATACTTGTATATTCAAAAAATCAATCCCATGAAAATCCATAGGACTTATGGCCAGTTAAGGGTATGGGAGTTCAGCCTACAGTTGATTACAACCTGAATGCTTATTGTGTTTTTGGGTTCTTTTGTGGATTCAAAACATATACAGGAGCTGTGTAAGTTAACTTTTTGGCCACTGGCAGCTACCCAAGTCTAGCATCCAAATGTTTGTCACCCATGAAAAAGGTGTCCTAAGCAAGGGGGATCCTGGCTGGGCCAGCTCTACCCCCCTCCCCCCCAACTGTGCAGGATTAACTCTCTACAGAGAGTTTCTCAAATTTGGCAACTTTAAGACATGTGGACTTCAACTCCCAGAACTCCCCAGCCAGCCATGTATTGAAGTCCACACATCTTAAAATTGCCAAGTTTGAGAAACACTGCTCTGCAGGTATGCTTCCCCAGGTAAGTTCTGGAAAAAGAAAAAGGCCTTCATTTGGCTGACTGGAGGAGAGTGGGAACTCTTCCTTCACACCTTTAGCAACTTTTGGGATGAGAAGGATCGCTGCCGAGAGGCAAAAATATGCCTACAACTTCACAATGCTGACTGCACCAACACATAATCATACAGTTTACTCCATTACACAATCCATTAAGCCAAATATTTACATTCACTTTTGTGAGCCTTTAATTTTTTTGTTTCCCCAAGAATCCTTGGTGAGTCCAGCAAACCTAGACAAGGAGGAAACCCTCCTGTGGTCCTCTGTCTGTTAAAGGACCAGCTGCATTTTGCATTAGAGTAGTTATACAGCTTTGCTCCCCCCTCCCCTGGTGCGTGCACACATTTGTGCATATGTGTGCATGCTAGTTAATAGCATTCATTTTCACCTCAGATTTTCATCAGGAAGTGCCATGATTTCTCTTGCACTTTCTATTCTGTCTTTCTTTTTCTTTTTCTTTCTGAGTTTAGTTTGTATGGTCTTTTATTATTGTTTTTAAAAATGTTCATTTAATTTTTTTTTTTAAAAAGGAAATGCCATGTCCAGAGAGAAGACATTTAATTCTTCCAGTGCAAATCCCATGAAAATACACCCCTCTTTCCCATAGCAGAAACCCCAAGGAGAGAGGAATGGGTTTCACTAGAGCCTAAGGAAGCTTTTCTTTCCATGGGGACCATTGACGGTCTGGGAGAGCAGTATTGGAGGGGATTGCGGTTGGAAGAGTTTGACCCATTCTCACTTGCTGTGCATTATGGTCCTGATGAAAATTGCCCTCCCTTTGGCCCATTATTATATCCAAATCCAGTTGTTGCAGCATGCTGCACATTTAATGGAGTGTCATTCATCCCTGAATCTTTGCCACAAGCAAGCTGGGGATGAAATTTGGATGCTCCACAGAGAAGAAATCAGATCATGGATGTGACATTTCATCTCCTTTGGCCATTGTTTATTAACTATTATAAATCAAGATCACTGAAATTAGCTGCCATCCAAATCAGAAGGATATGATTTAGTTGAATCCAGATGAATTGTCCCTTCATATGGCTCTTTTCCTTTTATGCAAAGTTGTTTGGTAGGCTATACCAAATGTCCCTGTTCCCCCCACGACCCATCTATATAATAGATAGTTATTAAATATCTAAATAACTATTAGATATTTTCGGGATATCTAACAGTTAGGATTATCTATCTATTTCAGTATTCTTCTCAGCTGTTCATGCCACTGAGCTGAGTTTCAAGTCATCTGATATGTGGCCACTTAAAGCCGCTGAGGAGTTTCTTGGCTCCCATCTTCACAGCTCTCTGAAGCTGATGCCGAGAAAACCTTTCCTTCTGATGTGAGTGTGACATTCATTCCTAGGAACGTCCAAGTGCTGCCTGGCTCCAATGGAAACATTCTTTAGGAGCCAAAGCAATGGCATCGTCTCAGCATTTGAAAGTTGCAAATGGGTGCCTTTTTATCTGCCCATTTGGCTGCCTCAGGGGACTTTTACATCTGCTCCAAAATCTAAAGCTTTTAAATTTTTTGCTGGTCAATCTGATACTCTCTCTCTCTCTCTCTAAATATTGCATCTTATTTGATTTTTCTGTACTTTCTTCTTGAATATAAGCAAGACAGAATGGCTTTTACCTGTCATTCACAACTCTTAATTCTTCCTTGTTTCTACACAATACACACTATGCATACATATTCCAGGACAGCTTCTTATGCTCTGGTTTATAAAACTCTGACATCCATCAATTTCATCCTGCATCTCATTATATGGTTGCTCTTGAGAATGGAAGATACTTGCCAGAGATGACATACACTAATAGGTGCATTTGCTTATGTGTAGCTGGGAGAGTTGCTTGCCTGATTATAATTGGGTAGCTGCCATAAAAAGGAAAAAGCAAAACCATTTTCCAGCTCTCTCTCTCTCTTTCTCCCTCTCTCTCTGTAATAAAATGAGTGGCCATGGAGCCTAACAGTCACCAAGGAGGGTGTCAATAGGCACGTTGTCGTTGAACCATCTAGTCCGATCCTTGCACTAACTGTATTTATTGAATGACAGAAGGGCACATTTAAAGTTTTCACTAGTTAGATTCTATTCAGTCATGAAATTCAGCTATACTCTCACATGGATAATCTGGTTTAATGTCTCCCTCCCTCCCTTGTTGAAAAATTCACTGCAAATGGAGTAAATATAACACAAGGGAGCCCCAGGCTCAGATTTGGATTAATTACTAGCTATGTTGAGGTTCCTTGACAAGAAAAGCAAGATTTTTTAAAAAAGAAATCCTTTTAATTCAAACTTTATCCCTCACTGCTTTTTTAATAGTGATCATATCATGTATTTTTGTAACATAACACAATTTTCTGGTGTTTTATGACTACTAATGGGACTGATTGCAGTGCACAAGTGATGATTTGCCTCTAGGAGGAGCTATAATCCTTAGATATACTTAAAGTGAGTCATAAATGAGTTATCAAAATGAAATGAATATGCCACATCTGAGTGGTGTCATAGTGCCTAAATCCTCTGACTATAGGTCTTTCCTCATGTTCTTTTTTTTGTCTTCTTTCTCCTCTTTCAGTCCTTCTTCTCATGTAAAATAGGGCTATTAGAGGCCTGTCTCTTTTCCAGAAAATAACCTTGCCTGCACTATAAAATCTCCAGCTCTGTTGCAGTTGTTGTCCAGGCTTCTATGTCCGTTCTTGTCCATCAAATCATTTTGTGTAGCATCATGGTCAAGTGTGAAAGCAATATTATATTCCTTTTACTCGACGTTCTCAAGAGTTCTCTCCCCCGCTCCAGTTGATCTTTGGAGAGGAAAGCTGACGCTTAAACTTTCAGTCAAAGGCATGGAAACTTTAAAGAGACACCCACAAAGAACACTGCTATTACCTGGCAAACGGTTTATTAAAGTAACCAGATTTTATATAAAAGCATGCAGCCACATCTTCTCATTTATATAATTAGAACAGTCAGAGATTTTAAAAAGTTTCTTTGCAGGAGATTAGTGGCTTGGAGGTTGAGTGAAAATAGAATTCTAATATGAATCCCTAACAGGTTTTGATACTGCTTGGACCCATATTTTACATCATCCTTACCAAGTCATTGGTTGCAGTGGAAAATCTTGATTCTGATATCAGACTTTAGGGCATTGGCTGAAAAACACTTGGCTTCTTGGATAGACCTCGAGAGGATTCCTCGTGAAACTCCATCCAGCCATTCATTTGCCTGGAAAGTCAAAGATGGTAGCAAAAAACACTTCATGTTCTTGCCAAGATGCTTAGCTATTAACTATCCTATGATACTCATTTAACAAAGATCAGATTTTCACTTGTTCTCTTTGTGCTGATATTTCTGGAGGCCATCTTGCATTCTCATCAAAATGTTCTTATCTGTACTTACAAAGTTATTTTAAGTTGCTGGGTTGGTGCAAAAACTGCATTAACTTACTGGCAGAGAAATAATAGCTTGACCTACAGCTGATCCAGGCCTGATCAAAGGTGGCTTGAACCCGTGGCCTCTCATCTTTGAAGAGAGACTGACACAGGAAGGAGAGGGAGAGTGATGGAAGCGACTGCATGGCTAATTTGTAACTTACTTTTATTTAACAGAAAGAGCAAGGGGAGATGATGGGAAAGAGGGAGGACAGACCTAAATTACTCTTACAAAGAAAAAAAAACAATACAAAAGAAAATGTAGTTCTCATTGCACAGGTTTTTCCATTATTGTTCAACAAGTGATGTGTAGCGTTTTCCTTTCCCTCAGTTTGATGAAAGCCTGTTCTAGCAGTAAACTGAATCTCAGTTATGGAAGTATCTTAATAAAATGTGGAGGAAAACAACCACCTCTAGGAAACCAGCACAGCCTGAACCACTAAGCACTCAATTGTCTCTCCAGGTGCTTGACAATTGTCCCTCCCTTACACAGGCAACAGAAAGAGTCTGTTGAGTCCATAGTGGGTCTGCCTGGTAGTCAAATCGTGCTGGCCTTCTAGATTAACATGTGTATCAGCATTTGAAGGGAAACATCAATCATTTTGTTTTATACAATGAATCTTTTGTTCTTTTGGCTGTTTAGGGCTCACTATGATGACACTGCTACCTATACTGCAGTGGCAACAAACAGACATGGACAAGCCTCAACCAATGCTGCTGTGATTGTGAAAAGTGAGTAAAGCCACATGACCACTTGAAACAGATACACACGTGGGGATACTTAAAAGGCTTGGATCACAATGTTGTTGCTTTCTTCTAGGATACAGAGGAGATGAAGAACCATATCCTGTTGGAATATTTCCCTGTCGCTGTAAGTTCTTCTTGTGGTTTGAAGCAACTCTAGACCTGTCATAAGCCTCAATGATGTTTTTCCCCCTAGAATCCTAATAAAAGGCTACTATAGTATTTTGCTATTAGGCTTAATTTAAGGTGTTAGTTTTGACCCAGAAACTTAGGCCAGTGGATCAGGAGCACTTGACCTGTAATTAGCTTGCACTCCCTTTTCAGTTTAATGAGAGCCTCTCTCCAGGATAGGTACCCATCCTAAATAATGTCTGTAAGGATTAAGGGCAGGGACCTCTTATCATCTTGACTTAATTTTTTACACTAAACTTGTTCCCAATTCTGAAAGAGTGTCTTGTGAAATTCCATTTCCAAAGTAGCTTTCCTTTTAAGCTCCAAAGAGCAAGTCTTGCATTTAATTAAAAAACAAACATACTGTCCTTAGAATCTATCTGTCTGTCTGTCTATCGATCTATCCATCCACCCATTCATCCACACAGAGAGAGTCTAGAGATTCTAATATTTATCTATAGCTATTGTGATATTACTTCAAAATGAAAACAAAACTACTGAGTGCTGGAAAAGCTGATGAAGATAATGTCTAAAATGCATTTTAGTCTCTGGATTCAGACTTGGAAAAGAGGGATGGCATTTTTACACACCAATATTTTAAAAATGGCTAAATCATATTAGACACATGTAAAACTTCTAGTTTCCTGAGTTCATTGCTCTAAGCCAGGCTTTGAAACTGCAAACATATCTGACATAGTCTGCAGAGGGACACAGAAAGCTGCTTTTCTTCTGGCCAGACAGGTAAAGATGTTTTCCTACTTCTCAGAAGCATATAGGAGAGCGGCTTCCGGTGGAGGACAAGATGGCGGAAGGTCCCTCCGGCTGAAGTTCCTCTGAAGCTGGAGTGTTAAACGTGGTTAATTTGGTGTCTCGGGATTGTTTTCCGAGACACGAAGCATTCTCCAGGCAAGGGAAAGCTATCGAATCGTGTCACGTGTCTTCCAGACAGCTATAGCTTATCGATCGAACGCGGGTCGCGAACGAACGGTGAGCAATCAGCTGGGAAGCGGGCGGATCAGCTTGTCGGCACCGCGTTTAAAGCTTCTTAAAGAGACACTACTTCCGACCACCCCACCTCTAAAATCACTTTTGTTGTAAGTTATT